AATGTGCTCAAATCTTACATTAAATTTTATTCTTCTATCACGTTTCTTTATCACGTCACTGTTATTATTCCCCATCTTCATCTCTCATACCTCCACACTACCACGTCCCCCTTACCCTACGCCACCTCCCTCATACACCCCAACTACCACGTCCCCCTTACCCTGTGTCACCCCCTCATACACCCCACGTCCCACAACTACCACGTCCCTTCCCTACCCTATACATCCCCTCGCAAACCACAATCACGTAAATACTTCCTCATCTATCCTCCTTAATCTCCGCGACTCCCTTCTCACAACCTTCTCCCATTCGTGCCTGTCTGTTTCCTTGTCTCGTGCTCTCTCTGGCCACCTCCCTCCCTCCCTCCTTCACTCCACTTGCCACTCCTCACTAGCCCCTCACTCACCTCTCACCCCTCATCGATATCAACCCTTAGTTTCTCTCTTACTTTCTCTCATAATCTCCCCCTCCCTCCCTTCCTGTCTTCGTCCTCCTCATTACAACCATTGTTTCCCCTTCTCCGCCTCTTGTACCTGTCACTCCCCGTCTACTCCTCTGTACCTGTCACTCTACGTCAACTCCCACTGTACCTGTCACTCCCAGTCTACTCCAATGCACCTGTCACTCCCCGTCTACTCCCCCTGTACCTGTCACTCCCCCGTCTACCCCCCCTGTACCTGTCACTCCCCCGTCTACTCCCCCTGTACCTGTCACTCTCCCGTCTACTCCCCCAGTACCTGTCACTCCCCTGTCTATTCCCCTGTACCTGTCACTCCCCGTCGACTTCCCTGTACCTGTCACTCCCCGTCTACTTCGTTTCACCTCGCATCATCCAGTTTTTCCGACACTCCTTTATTCATCTCCCTTTATCCTATATTCCTTCATTCTCCTCCCTTTATTCTATCTCTCTTTACGTTCCATCATCCCATCTTTCTATATTTCTTTATTCATCTCTCATCATCCTTCATTCCTTTAAACTCCCATCATCCTTTTTCTCTCCACTCCTTAACGTGGGCTTCCCTCCTTCCCTGCTTCACTCTTCTCATACTTAATGAGTTCCATGATTCTCACCTCGGTCATAAGAATGACGTAATTTTAAGTTTTTGTTTAATCTACTTTACACTGCTTAATGTTTTAGCTTTAAATATTTATTTGTTAAAACTTGATAGTGTTTTTCCTCTTACGACAAGGACTGAAGGCTGATGTTGACAGCTTTCCCTGAGCCTCTCTTGTTAACGTGGCGTCTGTATTTCTGCTTGCCCTATAATATCTTTATTCTTTCTCGTACACACTCACGCACATATACATATTGTTCATGCACAACTAAGTAAGTACACACAAACAATCTATCAGGTGATTGACAGTTGAGAGGCGGGACCAAAGAGCCAGAACTTAACCCCCGCAAGCACAACTAGGTGAGTTCACACACACACATACACACACATACACACACACACACACACACACACACACACACACACACACACACACACACACACACACACACACACACACACACACACACACACACACACACACACACACACACACACACACACACACACACACAAACACAAACACTGAGCCCAGTAGGCTCAGGAATCTGTACACCAATTGATTGACAGTTGAGAGGCGGGACCAAAGAGCCAAAGCTAAACCCCCGCAAGCACAAATAGGTGAGTACACACAAACACACACACACCAAAGAGCCAGAGCTCACCCTCCCCGTAAGCACAACTAGGTGAGTACCACTAGGTGAGTACACACACACAAACCTGTGCACACATACACACACATTTATTGTTTTCTTATGCTTTATAACTTGTCAGCTGAGACGACAATGAAGTCTAAGACACATTAACTTGGCTGACGACGTACCCGGCAGATATGCGGATCCTGCTGTCATCAACTGACTCATAACAAACGCATGACATAATTATGCTTGTGCTTCCTTAATTTCTAACAGCTTATTCATGAACCGTCAAAACACCAGCATTTAAATGCATTTCCACCAGTTAGAATTCATGCTACCTGGAGACAATATATACAGTTCGGATTACGAAGTTATCAAAGACTCGTGCGTTCTATTCATATTTGGTAAATGACGTTAGGTTTGGCGATTTAAGGCTAAATTCATCTGAATAACTGAGTTTGTGAACTTTTTGTTATTCAGTATTCTTTCTAGCACGAAAATAGAGCAATGTGGTGAAAACTCCCTAGCACTGAGGAACGTTACAAGAATATTAAGGATTGTCTTAAACATTGCTAAAACACAGGTTCCGACCATTATGATTTGCTACCACTGACCTTATGTTCCCATTTCTTATGTGGAGTGGTCAAGAATCAGTAATCACTTTGCTAGTGCATCTCAGTAAACATCACTACATACTAGTGGTTCAAAACATCTTGTTTGATGACATTTCTCGGGATGATTGTAATTTTGAATTTTTTTAATATTTTTTTATTGTAAAATTCACTCGTTTTTATGCTTCAAACTCGAGAGGTATTGAAAAGATACCTAAGAGATGCAGGAGGGATTCAGAAGCTCAGTTGCATTACGACACACTTGTAAAACAGTACAACCACTAGGAGAGAAGAGTCACATCATCCGTAGCATTCACATCAAGTATCCGTAGCATCCACATCAAGTATCCATAGATGGCAGACGCTGCATAAATGATTACAAAATACATCCACAACACAATGGCACAGAGAGAGAACAGCCACAGCATAATGACCAAAACTCAACAGTTTCCAAAATCCTGATAGAACACAAGGGACTAAACGACACTATAGGTAAACGATTGCGAATGGTAACATTGATATGGCAACAATTTATCAAACAACCAAGAACTGGTAAACATAAGATAAATGTAAAAATAAATGATGGGGAGAGCAGCGAAGTCAAAGACGTGTCCAGATTGGTTTATTTTAAAATACGACAAAAGGGAAGACTCTTACTAAAGGTAAAATGATATAAGATGTGGTGAGGTGTTGTGTTCTATTGTGTTGTGTAGTGTTGCGTGGCGTGTGGTGTGCATGTTGGCGTGCGGTGTGCGTGTTGGCGTGTGGTGTGGGTAATAGCGTGTAGTGTTGCGTTTGGGGTTGATGTTACGTGGGTGATGGGGTGTGGTGTGGCCGAGGGGGGGTGGATGGGTGATGTGGCTTAGGATCATTTTGCAAGATGTAGCGCTACTTACGTGACGTGGCGTGCCGTAGGGTGGTGTGTCATGGCATAAAAAGGCCTTGCGATGCGTAATATGGTACAGTTTTCATGTTAAGTTGTGTGGTACAGTGTGGTAAGACGTGTTGTGGCGTGGGATTGGGTGGCGTTGTGCAGTGTTTGGTAAGGACTGGTGTGGCTTGATGTGGCACTGGATAATGTTTGGTTGGTGTGGCTTGATGTGGCACTGTCTAGTGTTTGGTGGGTCTGGTGTTGCGTGATGTGGCACTGTGTAGTGTTTGGTGGGTCTGGTGTGGCTTGATGTGGCACTGTGTAGTGTTTGGTGGGTCTGGTGTGGCTTGATGTGGCACTGTGTAGTGTTTGGTGGGTCTGGTGTCGCTTGATGTGGCACTGTGTAGTGTTTGGTGGGTCTGGTGTGGCTTGATGTGGCACTGTGTAGTGTTTGGTGGGTCTGGTGTGGCGTGATGTGGCACTGTGTAGTGTTTGGTGGGTCTGGTGTGGCTTGATGTGGCACTGTGTAGTGTTTGGTGGGTCTGGTGTGGCTTGATGTGGCACTGTGTAGTGTTTGGTGGGTCTGGTGTGGCTTGATGTGGCACTGTGTAGTGTTTGGTGGGTCTGGTGTGGCTTGATGTGGCACTGTGTAGTGTTTGGTGGGTCTGGTGTGGCGTGATGTGGCACTGTGTAGTGTTTGGTGGGTCTGGTGTGGTGTTGGGTAGTGTAATATTGCATGGTGTGCGGCAGTGAGCTGGCGGGGTGGCCGAGAATGGCTACGCCATCTTTATACTCCGTTTTTTGGTCCCAGTTTGTGACTTTCCCCCTGTCATTATGCCTCTCTCTCTCATGTGGCTTGGTCTTATTTTCTCGAGGTTCTCTGTTTTCTTGTCCTCTCACACGTCTTTTGGCCTATATGTATGTAGAGAAACACCAAGATGAGAGCAGACTTTAAAAGTAGATACCGTTGCATCTTGGGCGTCTACATCATGAATGCATCTATAAAGCTCACGATATATTTTTTCTATTCTCGACGTGTGACACAAGCAGTATTGAGGTTTTCGTCAGGGTACACATATTTATGTTCGTAATCCCTTGAATTCAAATTTCGGGTTAGGATTAGTTTACATACACTACATTGTCAAAACTATTACATGGTACAATATTCACCTGTCCTGTACTTGAAATTGAAATAAGTTATTTGAGGTATAAATACTCAAACTGATGAGGTAGTTCATCATTCATATATATTTTATCAATGGTGTATATATATGTATATATATGTATATATATATATATATATATATATATATATATATATATATATATATATATATATATATATATATATATATATATATATATATATATATATATATATATATATATATATATATATATATAAATGAACTGTAGACACTCACACCTACCAGGGGACTCGAACCGTGGCCATCAATATGGCAGGTACGCACTTGTATCCACTACACCATACTCAGAGCCCTAAAAGAGGTGGAAATTCCGGGGTATTTAACTTCCCAGATATCCCATTTTCTCCAGGTAATGAGACAGTGAGAGATCACTTGACGTTTTCCATCAAGCCCTGTTAATGGGAGAACACGGTATCCATGCTTAATGCACTATATAGACACATCACAAACAGTAAGCATATTTCCGAACATTTTGAGTGATAAACATATACATTTCTTCCTTTTCATGCAGTATGTTTCGAGACGTACTCACAAATACTTTTATGACTAGGTACACAGACAATTTGCAATTGAGATTTAAATTGCTCACAGGACATTCTTATGTCCAGTGGTGGTGCTTATTCTTCTTCTGACAAGGGTTTTGGTTATAGTACATGTTTTTTATATAATCATAATACTGGCCATATTACAGGCGTTTGTTATGTTATTTGATGGTTGTCATTTCGTGAGAATAAGCTATCACTCTTGCTTTCTTTTGCAAGTGTGGTGATGATAATCTTAGTTGCTCAATTTTCCTTTTTGCTTCTGTATTGAAATATATAAGGTTCAAAAAGTTTACAAAATAATCTTCCAAGGAAAGGCTAAATACATATCATAAAAAACTCACAAACAGTACAAAAGCTTTGTGACCTTTCACAATGCTGACGACGATGCTGGATAATGATAAGAGTAACATTCAGCGGGCCAGGCAGAGGCTTCGGTCGCACGGAAGAATATCTCTGAGACCAAAACGCCAAAAAATACTTAACACTTGCTAATTGCTGGATGTGACAGGCTCGCTATTATTCAGCTCATTAAAGTCCTATGGCAAATACAATTAATTTTAGATGTATTCCAATTAGACCACAGTAAGCTCTCCGTGAGCTATTGGCACGATAATATGGCTGTGATGCTGTGAGCGTAGTATTAATGCCTGCCCATGTGGTCCTAATCAATGTCTACTGGATTTCCTATTGCTGGTTTTTCCTACGACTTTCTTTTACGAGCTCCACGGTAAAGAACCTGTGTGTGATGGCATACATATTTACGAATAGTACGAATAATTACTCACTGGAACTCTATTTCGTACATTGTTCCTATCGACATTTTGTAACGTTCCATATTCTAAGATATCCTGATTTTCATAATTTAATTCTAATATCAATCATTTCACGATAAATTGGGATCGATAGTTATCCTTTTAAATTACGTTTTATTATCATATGATAAGTGAGATTGAAATGCAAATAAGGATTGGACAAATAATGGCAAATGTGCCCACATGGCCATATTTTTCTCATATCTGACCTCTTATTAGTAGAGGTTTCTTTTTTACATTAGAAAAATATTAACCAGAGATATGACGGATCCTCCTAATTTTCAGGACATATAAACAGAACTCAATTTTCATGATTTACTCTAGTGGAATCATCAACTGGCGGAAGCAGAAATGTGACTTGATGTTGGATTATACATGAACTGACGTTTGTTGCAGTGTGTACGGGTTAAAAGGCTTTACCTCTTAATATTTTACTTATTCTCTGCCTTTGTGTGTATTTGTTTATTTTTTCTGTATGTCTCCATCTCCGTCTCTCTCTGAAGCACCTTCTGGTAGACTCAGTCTGGCCCCATTGGCCACCCACTCCGGCCCTACTGGCCGCACCCTGACAGTGACCACATTTACATACACATTATAACGTTATATTTTTTCTTCCCCCATTTCTCACACATTATATGTCGCGCTGCACGTGTCACCAACTCTCGTGCTGCACACCGTGACGTCGTCTACCTCTCGCGCTGCACAACGTGTTGTCTACCTGCCGTGCTGCACCCCATGACGTCCTAACCTGTCACGCTGTATCTCATGACTCCATCTATCTGTTGTACTGCACCCTGTGACGTCGTCCATCTTCTGTGGCACACACTTTGACGTCATCTACCTGTCTTTCTTCTCCCCTGATGTCATCTGCCTTCAACATTCCACCTGTTGGAGTCACATGTTTGTCCCGTTGCGCCCGTGAACTCTCCTGGTCTTGTTGATGACGTCGAAGCTTGAAGATGTGTACGGGTTTGCCGACGGTTCGAGGCCCCGCGGGGGCAGCAGTCTCGAGACCGTCTTGATTGTGAGTATTGAACACTGCCTCGTCCCTGCCTCCCTCCCTGAGCGAGCCACTTAATAAGTACTCAAGCTCAACCTTCCCTCAACCTTCACCCATAACTGAGTCCTGAAACCCAGATATAATTCCCTCCATGATCTGGTTCCTACCGCCTAATCTGACCCTTATATCAAAATCTAATACTCACCTCCAAGATCTAACTCGTCACTCAGATCTATTTGATTTCCCATAACCGAATTCCTTCATTCAGATGCCAGCAGCCTACCCAGATCTCAAGCTAGCTACCATGGTCTAAAACCTTCTACTCGAGTCTGATTATCTCTTGATCTGACCCTTGTAGGCCAATAATTGACCTCATCCGTTCCTTCAAGCCACCTCCCTGGTAGTAAAGCTTCGCATTTATTTATGCATCTTCCTATTAAATGCGTATCCTTCCCTTGCATTGCTTGTATACTCGATCCTTATCCCTCTCCTCTCTCCCGTCACGTTAGGTACCACAAAACAGGGACTGATGAATGTTACACCTTCATAGATTACCTCTCTCGCCTCACAAACCTTCCTCTAACTCGTAGATACTCTAACTTCTTTATTTTTCGTGGGGACAATCTTATCCTTTTGGTTAATAGATTTCCTAAAATATTCCGTTACCATCTCATAGGATGCGAGCTTCCTTCCCGCACTGATAAGCTCCGTCTCTAAGGGGCACATCCTTCCTCCCTCCCTCACAGCTACGTCTTTACCCTCACTGGCACACCTTTCCCTCTTACAGGTAAATCATTTCTCTCACAGGTACATAATGTATCTTAGGTACATCCTTCCTCCTCACAAGTACATCCTTCCCCTCACTAGTTCATCGTTCCCTCTCACGGGTACATATTTTCTTTCACAAGTATATCCTTCCTCTCACATATACATCGGTTCCCCTTCACATGTGCATCGCTCCCCAACTCCCTCACAGGTATATAATTTCTCTCAAAAGTATATTCTTCTTCTCACAGGTACATCTTTCTCCTCACAGGCATAGACGTCCCCCTCACAGAAACATTTTTTTCCTCATAGATACATCCTTCATGAATAAATGTGCTCCGTAATAGATAACCATCTTTTCATATAAATATTCCTCTCTGAATGATAACCACAATCCCCCTACTAATAACTCCTTTCGCTTTAGACAGCTCTTTTTTTCATAAATAACATCTATTCCAGAATAAATATTGTCTTCAGCTATTCCCCAACCTTCCTCCCTGTCCACACCATTCTCTCTACTATGCTGTTTTATGTTTCTCCGCTCTGCCAGCTTCAATTTTATTTTTCTACTCCTGTTCCTATCTTTATCCTCTTCCTCCTACGTTCCAATTAACTTATATCTTGCTGTTTCTTCGTTTCTGTTTGATGTACTTACTGTCTTGGAGATCTTGTCCTGTGTGCTCATGTGAGTCCCAACGCTGTGTTGTCATGTTGCTGGCTGTCTGTCATGTATGTACCCCTCTGTGTTCTAATGGTTGTCACACACACACACACACACACACACACACACACACACACACACACACACACACACACACACACACACACACAGTCCTATCCTGTAAATCGGCGTGAGTTTCCTAATAACAGCATGTTTATTCATGTTCCTGTTGGAGAACTGAAACCACAATGTCAATGCTCTTGATGTTTTGTATGTATACTTACAAATCTTGTTATATCCCAGAATGCATACACAGATTCTTATACTTATGTATAAGTACGATTTTCTATACACATCATATCCGAGAATGTCTCTAAACTGCAATTATAATTATTTTAGCTCTAATAATTGCACATTTAATTGCAAAAGATCCTGCACACAGGTTCCTGAAAAGTTGCACTCAAGGAATTATTGAGTGAGTTCTCTACAGAAATACACTAACCTGTAGGTAGCGGTAATCGGAAAATAATAAGTAAATTGTAAGTATTTCGCAATGTATTGACTCGAGGAAGTGAAATTCGAATGTAATTCCCGTAAAAGAAGAATGTATTATTATTATAATTATTGTTTATTTTTCTCTATTCACATTTTGACATGTTGAGTTTATTTCTCAATTGATAAATGACCGAGTTTCAATGCTGTTTTCCCTGAAAAATAATTTGTTAAATAACACTTGTAAGCAGGATGCATTTATTTTCTAAATGAAGGAAATGCTGGCAGGTTGGTTGAGAAAGGAAAGGCATGCAACACACGAACCATTCTCTGTAAATATTGCTCTTGAACCAGACGTTTCACTGGTTATTATTTATCATACAAACCTCAGCCCATCCTCCAGAAACGATAGGTTTTTTTAACGTTAAGGGCATTTTATACACAAATGTGAAATTGAGGTGTGGAAAGATCAAGGAAGTTAGGATGCACCCATAAAACCACCGGGAATACACTGTCTAAAAGCCAACTCCATCAAAAGTACTCATTACTGCCTATCCTATACTATATATAAACAAATATATGATCAAAATGAAAATTAATACATAGGTACAGAGGGAGGGAGACAGTAAGAAGCCCTGGAACACGTTAAAAATGTACATATTGATGAAATACAACTTTCATGGGCTTACAATCTGTTGTTAGGGTGGTTATAAATGGTATGGAGTGTGCCTAAAATTATTTCCTGGTGCATGTGTAGTGATAAAACTAGAGAGGTAAACTAGAAAAATTTATCCATTATAAATAAGGAACTGTACAAATAATTCAAAGCAATACAACAGTTAATGTTGAGCGGTCAACAACAAATTCCATATGACAAAAGAAACACATAGGGGTCATCAACTACTAGCAATAGCAGACAGACATCACATACTGTTATAGAAGCTGTATAATAAGATGTTCGAGACTACAGAAAGTCGCCCTCCACACGAAGGAAGATTTATTCTTTGTCATAACCTTAAATTACTTGTATAGCTCGAAAAGATATGACAAAACTACATTACCACTTCACAATGTTTACAATCTGCACAAGTGTCAAACAATAGTATTTGCAGCTATTTGGCTGAACGTACAAAAATGGCCCATTGCAGCCATCATTGGTCAAGTTTTATACTATAAGATTTGTAAATGCTCCCCTTCTCCCTTTCTTAAAAATGAAATCCAATCTTAAATATATCTAAGCCTAGTATTGGGTAAATATGTATTCTATTAGGCGTAAGATAACGTTCATTGGGCCCACGATTGCTTATTTGTGTATTGGGCAGATTACGTTACGTTATGCTTTTGTAGTTATTTTTACATTAATGTAGTGTTCCATTTAACCTAATCTAATAATATAAAACGTGAGCCATTTTGGGGGTCCAATAGTCCATCCAAATAGTTGCACTTTACTGGGAGACCTCCCGGACCTCGGACATATATTCTTTCATTCTTAGATGACTCGGCTGGTGCCTCCTCTAGGGGTCTCAGCACCGTCGGACGAGTTTGTTTTAAAATTGGCTCTAAGAAGGTGGCCGTTTAATGATTTTCCTTTCTTCCATTCTATCATTGGAGGTTCTCCAGAAAAGAGGACCCTATTGGGTGTTCGTTGTAGGTTTCCCTCATCCAACTCCATATGTTTCTTATGTTAGACTTATATGTAGTGGTTTAGCATAACCTTGGAAGAAGAGCGTTGGTAGAATCTATTTGTCCAGGTGTTTGTTTCTTTTTTTTTTGTTAATCATTATTATTTGAGGATGGGCTGTGCGCGCGCGCACACACACACGGATAAATATATATGCATGCTCGCACACATTAACATTCACACGAGCTCTTACACATGAATATAATTAACTCCGAAGATAAACATATATTAAAATGTTCACACTTAAATGTTGTTTAGTACGGTAATTGCTTTGATACGAATGACTTTCATGAGTCAAAAATCCAAATTTTTGTAATCGACTCTGTTCTTTGTAACTATTAGACAAATGATAAAATAAATTTAGTATAAGCAAACGCTAAGGTACTCATTTCTTTCAAATAAAGTGTGCATGCGCTATACGGGAAGCTCGAACGATAGATTAATATATATCATGAAACCACATTTTGACATTTTTATACAAAGTCAGTATATTAGACTAGATTTCAAAAGTTTTCCCGAGCTGCATATAAGCCTAACCAATTACAAAATACAGGAAAGAAACGTTTAATAAATTCTATTTGGAAGTATTCAATACAGTTAGAGGAAACTTCAGGCAGCATTAAGTTCTTGTAGGCGACATGACATCTACATAAACAGACGTGCAACACGCCAGTGTTCCTCCCTCAGCAAATGAAAGATGCTGCTGACAAGCGGCGAGACTTGGAGCGGCAACATGCAGAGGCGCTGGCCCAGCTGCGTGAGCGACAGGCATCCATCGCTGACCCATCCAAGGCCAATGAAAAGGAACGGAAGGCTTCCGTCGAGGTGGTCGAGGCGTTGCAGGTGAGAGGATCGTATGAGTCAATAAAACATGTGGCAAAGCGGTACTGTTGAGAGATGTGAGGAGGAAGGGATGGAGGAAGGGTAGAATATTAAATAGGTAATAGAAGAGCTAAGAAAAGACCCAGAATTTGGTAATTATTGAGTTAAAGTAGGAGGAACAAACAACATTAAGTAGAATAATGGTTCCATAATCCAACGAAATTGATATAATATTTTTACTCATATTTCTTTGACTATGAGGAGTAGTGTTATAATGACACAAGCATGTAAAAGTTAATTGACAGCTGAATCCGGTAGAGAGATGTACAGTAACGCGGCATTGTGTGAGTGATTAGTGACTGCTCGAGACTGGTGGCCTCTTGTGAGTGGTTAAGAATTACACTAGGACAATATTCTCGAGTGGATGGGGAAATCTTACACAAGGCTAACATTCTCCTGTGTGTGGTTAAGCAATAACGGTTTAGGTAGCGTATTACTTGTTCTCTCTGTATATAAGAATTACAGCTTCCATACACAACATGAACCCTTCCATCATACACTCCCTGTTCCCTTAGTCCTCCGTCCCATCTCCCATCAGAAACGTCATCAGTTGTGTAAAGTGTAAATTAGATAAGATGGGTAAGCGCAGGTGAGGTGTCTTCCGAGTATACACCTTGATATGCCTGCTATGACCGTTCAAGGTAAGTACAGAGATAAAAGTCTTCTTGCATACCTTGATATATTTCATTGTATTTCTTGAGAGCATCTTCAACGCTGAATATGTTTTTTCTCACAAGAATTGGGACGAGAAAGTGAGGCACATTTCAGGACAATGATTTGCCAAAGGAAAAAAAATCAGAATAATATTTTGTTTCTGGCTTAAGCCAAAAATACATTTCCAATACTTTTACCCTATTTCAATTTATTTGAACTATTACTCTTATGCATTGTGATAAATTTCAAGCCCTCGTTCTTGCCTTTTTATCTCGATGGTTTGACAATGAAAATTTAGTGAATAACAACAGTAATAATTATAGTAACAATTATCATCATCTCGATGATAGTGGAGCTGTTTATATTATCGTATTATTGTTTTTTTGTTAATTAATCTTGTGTTATTAATGAAGCACTAATAATTTCATATTAACAGCACAATAAATATATAGGAGAAGAATATATTAAAGTGTTCAGTGAGGATCCACAAGGTCTTCTCTGAATATTCCTAATTTTTTTCTCCGAGGATATGGATCCCTACAATAATCACTTAAACTATATGACCCTTCTGGACTCAAAAGAAAGCCGCCACGGATCTCTCAATGAACAGTGCTAGTACTCTGACCACTCTGGTCAGAGATCGCGATAGGCGATCGCCGGTGATATGGTATATAATAACATTATATATAAATATATTATGTGTAGTGTAAGATCTCTAGAATAATGATTATCGTCATCCGTATTAATCTTCATATACAATAATTTTTTTTAAACAAAAATATCCTTTTAACTTTAATCTGTTGTGTACTTTATAATTTGATGGGATCGTTCTTTAAATTCATGATCGTTCAACTTACCGTTGTCCATCATAACCTGGTGGTGTTCCTAGTAATTTTGCGGCCTCCTTCATAACTGTATTACAAATTTCCTCGCAGAGTTTAACTAAGCGATAACCTCAGTAATTGAGTATTTTCCCTGTTTGCAGTCGAAGATTCGTGAGCTAGAAAAAAAAGCAGAGGTCCAGAATCTGCGCCATGAAGAGCTGCTTCTGGAGATGCAAAGCCTGAAGAAGGCTCAAGGCTCCCCCAAGAACTCCTGGACCAGATCCCTCAGTGCGGATCTTCAAAGCCCTGATTCAGGAGACGTAACGCCAGGTGAGTCACATCTCTCTCTCTCACTCATGGTTGCGCACTAGGAGCTCCTTTAGTGGCGGACCATAAGGGTTTTTCTTCTTTGTTATGCCTTCTCACATAATTATTTTGAATGGTTTTCAAATATGTTTTTGGGGTGCATATCAGATACTTCTTCGGGACGCTTCAGTATTTCATCTGTATAGCTCTCTGATGCTTATTTTGCCCAGATATCCCCTTCCCCTCCTTACTCTTCTGTAAGATCGTACTTGTCTCGTCAATAGAGGAGGATGATAGTTGTTCCATGGTCCTCTGCTAAGCCTTTCTTGCTTTCACTTCTCGTCAGATCGTGTGAGGATTTTAAAAAATGTCTTCTGGGTTATGGGTTATTGGATTATTATCATGAACTGAAAGAATGTATCCCCTCGAATGTAGTTTGAAGGCGATGAAAGTCCATTAGTCTATTTTTTATCTACAAATAAAAAGTGTTATTTAGATTTCATCGTCAAATTGCACAAATGAGGTCTTTGGTCTTGCTCTACGATTTGTACTGAAGATGGGAGAATGGAAGGAACTTGTTCACTGAAATTTATCTTATTTACTATAAACTAAAATATTTTAGACAGGTTACAACACTGTAACAGCATACGAGATATTAACTTGACTTACATGTTAATTTCATACAAAATAAGCTATTTAAAAAAATTTAATTTCAGTCTTCAAGCGTTCAAAAGCTAAACAAATTACAAACTCGACCACTTTCCAGCTATACCATTTTACAAGTTCGACCACTTTTCAGCTGTGCTAGCTTTAATGCTTCACCTATCCAAAAAACTTCAAATAAAAGTCACTCAATCTTACATAACTAACCACTCTCACATCAGCCATACACCATCTTACTTGCTTGACCATTGCACAAGTTTCTCATATGCGTAAATCTCACCACACGCAAGCTCCACCACCCACCAGCATCACTACTCATCAGCTTCGCCACTCACAGGTTCTAAAATGACGTGTCAGATAATGTAAGCCTTCGAGTTCAACTTAATCTCTAATTCCTTTTCCTTACTGTCGTTTCAGAGTGTTTAGCCATTCTCGCAGGTAAGATAGGTCAAGTTTTCGTGCCCGAGGTTCATGTCGTCACAAGTATGAAAGTCTGACTCATAGATATTGCCAGCAGCATATATGCTCGGGTCTTCAGGGCAAAAAATAATGTTAAAAATTTATTAATTTGCATTAATGGATTGTGCTTGAATTACTCCTTTTGCATCTCTTGACTTAATTTTCCTAAATAATTTAGAAAATGTCTGAATGGTAGATGCTGGAAGTATCTGTGTTGCAGGCCTCAGCTATGACGATTGCCGTGGGCTACCTCTGCATATGCCATCATATAGAAATGTTCCGAACTATAAAAATATTGAGAATACAGTTAAGGCGCATAATAATTTTTGATCATTTTTAATCTGGAAAATCTGCTTCTTACGCTGAACTTCATATTTTGTATTCGAACAGTTTTTAGTTTTATTTCAGAAAATCAAAATAAAACTTTATTCAACGTTGAATTAAACTTTAAGTCTTTTTCCAGATTTAAATTGAAAAGGTAGCTATATCAAATCAAGTGTGTGTGTGTGTTTGTGTGTGAGTGTGTGTGTGTGTGTGTGTGTGTGTGTGTGTGTGTGTGTGTGTGTGTGTGTGTGTGTGTGTGTGTGTGTGTGTGTGTGTGTGTGTGTGTGTGTGTGTGTGTGTGTGTGTGTGTGTGTGTGTGTGTGTGTATGTGTGTGTGTGTGGACTCTGTGAGTAAGTCAAATGAGGAGGATAAGAGGAAAATAGAAGGAATAAAGGGTAAACAAACAGATTTTATTTCCCAGATTGAAATTACTCAGTCACTAATTTTATATTCAATCTCTTGTTAAGGTGTTAGTCAAAGCAGATGTCCACAAGTTGCATATACAAGTAGAATTTTAGAAACCCTCACCTAGCTGTACAAAAATTTTATCACTAATGCACTGTATCCTAAATTAATTAGTTTCCTTGTGAGCCCTTGTCATTTATAGTGTCCACTGAAAGGCAGAGTTTTTCATTACCTCCTCATCGCATTTGGGATCCAAACTACACGAACAGATCAGACTGTTCTTTTAAAGATGAAAGATTTTATATTCAGTGTGTAAACATTCCTAAATGCCTTCTTCGTTTAAATTTCCCTGTCATTTCACCTCCCCTTGCCTAGTTCCCCTTTTTTAATTCCTTTCATTGGTGCCACTGTTAACTTCGCTCTCCGTCCCTCCCAGACCCCAATTTCACTTGTCCTATTCTCTATTCGTTCTCTTTCTTCCTTCCAATTTCCTCTACTTTTTATTGAACAGTTTATATATTACGCATTCTAATCAACAGGATGATGCATTCACCGTTTCGTTAGTTACTCCGTTAGTTTTAACTCGATGTAATAATTTGAGAATATGTTGTAAATAATCGAGAGCCAGTACATTAAACAAGTAGTTACATCCATAGTGACATGCAGTTGTAAATAATTATATACGGAATACCAAATGCAGCAACAACGAATTAACTTTGATTGTAACTTTGGGATTTGATAAGGCATATATGAACAAAATTCAAATAAATTCTGTATTTTAAATTGTAGGAACTGAACATTGTTGAAAAGGAGCATTCGTTAACAGTTTCTTGGAAAAGTGATCCAGGAAAAATGATTAATCTCTGTTCATTTAAATGCTAACGTTTTTATCAACAATAAATACATTGTTTATGTATAATCTGATAAAATGAAACTTTGAATGCTCTTTAATATATTATACATTTGCGAATCTGAATTGATGAATTGATGCATACAACTGATGAATTTGGTACATCAATCATAAGTAAGATATGTGCATTCTCATATCATTCCTTCCTTGCGCTATTGGATATTTTGAGGAGGAGTTCTTTCGTGTTACAAAAATAGTCTCCATTTTATGTTTAAATTTCCTGCATAGAATTTCCCTAATCAGGTTAATCTTTTTTCAATTACTGTATTTATTTTGGGGCCAAACATAAATATAAACTACGCTAGGTTCACGGGATTAATACTAACAATAAGAAAAAAAAAATGGAGAATGCCCTTAGAATCAATGACAGTCAAATATCCACATCGTTCGGAAAACCTTAGATTCCTTTAATGTGGCTTCAGGCTTTTAACTGTGTAATTTTTGTGACCTGTCATTCTTCATTACGTCTAACTGTGTCATTGTTTACTTCCTTTCCATTCTCCCGGTGGTGTGCGGGCAGACATGTCTCTGTACAAGCAGGCACTCCTTCGCTATACGCTGCAACAACAAAGTAATTCCTCTTATTAATCCCTTATCTCCGAGTCTCTCTTTCCATCAACCAAGACATGTGCTTCGTATTGTTTATTTCAATTTAATTACCCATTTAGCAATGGCGTTTACGTTCTGGACTGATGAAACTAATGTTAGCGTAAGTGTGAGACTGTTGATCATGTGTACGTAGCAGCTGCAGTAGCAGCCACAGCAGCAGTAGCAGACCCAGCAGCAATAGTAGCAGTAGCCACAGCAGCAGCAGCAGCAGCAGCTGCTATAACAGCAGTAGCTGCTATAACAGCAGCAATAGTAATTGTTGCAATAAGAACAACAGCAGTTGCTTTAATAACACCAGCTGTAGCACCATCTGCGGCAGCAGCTGCTGTAGCACCAACTGCAACAACAAAAGCTGCAGCACCAACTGCAGCAACAGCACTAAGTGCAGCAGCAGCGGCCACCTGCTTTAGGGTTGCTTGTACCGAGCCTGGCAAACACCACGCCCTTTATCTCTCACCCAGCGCCTACTGCTTCTTGTCCTCGTTATTATCTTTTATCTCCTCTTGTGCTCCTCTCCGCAACATGAGGAATCCCGTGATACACTTCACTGGCCATTTTCTTTATATCTTTTCGTCGGAAGGCAAAAACTAGATGCAAGGAAGTTTTGTTTTTGTATTCATTACAAGTGATGTTACTAAAGCTGATTTTTGTCTTCCGACAAGTTTTTTGACATGTGCACGGGACTGTCGAACACTGTCGAGAACTCTGTAAAGTGGATACTGTATTATAGCTTGGCAATACATGCACTGAGATACTGAATGCTTAGTGGGGTTTGATGAGAGTGGTGCTGTATTTATCACAGTGTGGTGCATCTTACTCAGTTATGCAGAATTTTTTTGGCTGTAGCGCACACCTATTTTAGTGTTCGTTTGTCATTAAAGTATTATTTTCTTGAGTAATGGACAGCGTATCACGTTCGATCACATATATTTTGGTGATGGGCCAGTAATGTTTGTTGACAACAGGTGTGTGCTGCAACTCAAGAAACTAACACCGCACGTGCTTTCCCGTCACGTGACCTCCACCAGTAGGGGCCAGAGTGCATGCTGACCTCACCAATTCTTTACAGATTCCAGTCAAATTTTGTCCAATGGTAGCACGGCCCGGTCAACGCCCGTGCCACACTCCGGGATGGGCTTAAGTCTGCCCCACAGCCTTGACGTGATTGGCTTGGTCGATCTTCCCGATTCTCTCTTCGCCCACCACCAACCCCCCATGTCCACGTCACCTCTCACTGGCCAATCAGGTCAGAGCTGGCGCGAGGAGCGCGCTCATTGGTCGCCCTCTCGCTCATCCCTCTCCCCCTCAAGAAGGACCCATAAGAGTTAGTCGTTCCTAATTTCAAAATTCAGCATTCATGCTACAGGATTGCAATTAGTTGAAACATCGGAAATGTAATTTTATGAATGGACTGTTAATGCCCGAGTCTTGTGACACAGTCTGACAGTCTGATGCTAAAACCGTGACCAGCAGCTGGTGGCTTGGTTCACTGACCACCACTCCATTAATTCACACAATTAAAGCATGAAGAAATACTCCCAGCGGGAAAATATAATTCAGAAAAATGCAGAGTGGAAAATAGCATCTTTGCGAAGGTTTGGTGACATTGTTACCTGCCTAAGATTGTTACCGAGTCTGGTACCCATCCTGGACGAGTCTGGTACCCATCCTGGACGAGTCTGGTACCCATCCTGGACGAGTCTGGTACCCATCCTGGACGAGTCTGGTACCCATCCTGGACGAGTGCTCTCCTTTTCCATACATTGTAACCATGCCATGTTTCCCACTCTTCAGTTTTCTTAGCACTATGAAACATGGTATACAAAGGCTCTTCATGTTCTAACGGGACACCCATCACCCTTGTTTTTCACTACGGAGAGGATGGGAAAGTTATAGTTCTTTGCGCGCACGCACGCACACGCACACGCACACGCACACACACACACACATGCACGCACACACATGAACACACACACACAGTTGCATCAGACTGTCACACGACTAGGCGCGAGGATCTAAAAACTATTTATTAGTAGAAAGCAAGTGGCTGAAATCTAGGTTGTAGTCCCCAAATATCTCCGAGCATTAGAGCATGAATCAATAGTCTGCCTTTTTTCGATAGTTTTCTGAGCCGCAGGTGAGGAGCGAGACGCATATTCTATGATTTCACTTAGGTTCATAATCTTTCGTTAGATTCTGTCGGATGACCTCCCATGTCTAAAAAAAATATTTATATCTCATTTTCTTCTTTTGAGTGAAATTTGAAGTTATATTAAATGCGTCTCGGAATGATTTTATGAATTATCTCACAGATTGCAAATGCTTTACTGTTGTTGACTACATATAATGTCATAATGAAGAGGTTTAGATATTTCACACATTCGGAAACTGGTTCCCGTGGAACTTGTAGTGCTATAAGCGAATTCCACTCATCTTGTTCAACTCAGACCTCTCCTCACCTCTCAAAAGAACTTAGCCTCACTGAATACTGAATATATTGGCCTTAGTCCTTATCAAATATTGACTACGAAGAGGGACGAACCAACTCGAAGAGAACCTGACCCTTTCAACGTAGAAATGCGCCCTCAATGCGTCCTTGCACTCGAGCGGAGTTCATGCATCCTTGGTGTGACCAGGCACCCCAACGGTGATCGTGGGCCCAGCGAGGTATACCCATTGGTTTAATGGTGTTTGATAGCGCTGAAGATGATCAGGCTCAGGATCAGTAGCACACTGACAACAGATTCTGAGACTCGCGAATAGAGTCCGAGAGTACGTGTGTGTCGTGTATAACAATGATTATATAATTATAGGATATTAAACCTATAATTAACCTGAAACTAACAATGTTAGTTTCCATCACAATAGCATTTCTTCGGGTTTCAATGATGCATCGTGTTTTAACGTTTCTACCTTGAGTTACCTTGAGGTTATCTCGAGATGATTCCGGGGCTTAGCGTCCCCGCGGCCCGGTCATTGCCCAGGCTTCGTTGCTGGACTGGTCAACCAGGCTGTTGAACGCGGTTGCTCGCAGCCTGACGCATGAATCACAGCCTAGTTGATCAGGTATCTTTTGAGATTTAAATTCTAAGATGAATTTACATTCTAATTTCTGTTAGAACTTCTGCACGACAAAAGTTAAAAAATGGGATTCGCGTTCTTATGGTCGCGATATCGTTTGATATGTCGGAATAGCTGAGGTCTCTTAAAGCTTTAGTCTGAGAATTTTGTGTAATGCGTCAGGTAACGTTTGTGTGTCCAAAACGTTATTGCATTGCTTATGAGTTTCGTGAGATTTATAGCTTTATGGACTAATTAAGGGCATCGTATACATTTTTCTATGGACTTTTATCGCCTTAAAGTATTGCAAGGCAAGTAAAAAAGCCTTAGAGCCTCATAATATTTATCAAAATTCCTTACAGTTCCATCAAGTATATATCAGGTTCTTAGACTTTTGCGTAGATAAACTTATTAACTCGGAATATTGAGGTTCTGGAAATTACGGAAGAATATTGTAAAACATATCTTGTTACCTCAGATTATTGTACAACTCATGGCATTGACCCGGACTACTTTATGACGAGTAGCACAGCCCCAGAATATCTTAAAAAAAATAACATTGACTATTGTCCTTTTAAGGCATCACATTAGTTCAAACTTTTGTAAAATATCTCACATTGACCGAAACATTTGTAAAATTCATTACATTGTCAGACTGTCGTATGACTTAACTAAGGATAGTTCCCAAGTGAAACTATTTGTCATACGTTTTGTCATATCTTAGTTGATAGTCTGAAGGACGGGTCGGGTTAGGGATGAAGGGGTCGGATACACGAGGAGTCAGGCGGGGGGAGCGTTGGTTGGATGCGGCAGGTGGGAGCTAGGGAAGACGCTCTGGTAGGAGGTGCTGGGAGGCACAGGTCACCACATCAGCCAGATTATAAACAGCAGCAGGCCCAACGACTCTAGGGGATCACTATAGCCCGTGCTACATGAACATTTCGTTCTGGGTAGCTAAATCTAAAACAACAACAACCAACGACTCGCACGATGAACACATCGGGTAAACAAACTTCACACGGTTGAACAAACTACGGTGTAATCAGGGCCATTCCAACACGAACAATTTATTACAAAATAAATATATTCAACAATACATAGATTAAGGTCAACAGAGTTTACCACCCCACGAGAGGGAGAAGAACGGTGGAGAAGGTGGAAAAATCTAAGGGGGAGAGAGAGAGAGGAGACTGGACAGCTGGGGAAAGTGGAAATATGAAATTATCAACATATAGTAGTGTAGTGATGGAAGACAAGGTGTGGAGGAAGGTTGGAGAGATGTAAACAATAGAGAGGAGAGTGTTGTGTTAGGTAAGAGGACACCGAAGATGAAGACGACGAGCTGGTGACTGGTGAAGCTGATGAGTTTCAGGGAGGGGAGGAAAAGAGAAGGCCGGTGAGGTAGCTGATATAGAAGGCTGGTGAGAGAAGGGGAGGTGGCTATTGTGAGACGGGAGGCTTTTGACGAGAGGGGAGGCTTGTGGCGAGAAGGGAAGCAGGCGTAGGGAGGTTAGGTAGATGGTGAAACTGAATTTTAAGGATAATGGAAGCTTTTGAGTGTGAGGGAGAGAATGGAAAGCAATTAGGAAACTCATATTTGCAGATGTCTAAGGAAGTGTCAAGGAAGATATCAACACATTTGGATTGCCTAATGTTATTATGAGTAGTATTATAGGTGCACCAGAGACTAGTATAGGTTCAGACTAAACTGCTTAGGGTTTTGAAATATGTGAGGGCAGAACCACTATCAAAATAAGCAATAATTAAATTTAAAGTAACAACAAAATAATAGTATTGTCATACAGCATATGAGGGAGCGCCAGGAACAAGAATATACAACCATAGAGACCCATCACTATTATGAGAACCGCCATAAAGTAGCCAACATTGACGATAGCACAGAAACCCGATTGAAACGCATCAGTACCAACAAGAAAGAACACATCTAAAATCTGAAAGATGATCAGAATATATATTGATAAAATAACCAATTACCATAATATTATTATAAACTATAATTTTATGTTGTGTAATAAATGTAAATATAACGATATTAATATGCAATAATAACTGTGAATGTGTACCTGAAAAATGATGGTTCATTTTTAATTACAATATATAAATTACAATATTAAAATATTGCATTGAAAATATTGAAAACTATAATACAAAAAATAACGCAGATACAGGAATAAATATTATTATTACAGATTAATCCATCAAACAAAACTTTACACTGTAACCACAATATAGATGTCCCCATTGTGCATAATACAAAATTCGACGCACGCGTCATTCTAAATATACAAAATTTGCACCTCGTTTTATTTAAATGAATTAAACTTCCTGTAAATGAGTGGTTAATAATACAAAATGGTTTACAATAAATTTAAAGCTCAAATAACGACATCGCTTACATATAAAGCCAAGCGCACGTAGCTATACTTAATCTAGAGGTACACACGAAATGACTTTATTGCGTAAAATAACCAAATGTAAATAAATAGTGTAATAAATAAGAATAATTTTAACAATATTAATAATAATATCAATAATAATATCAATAATATTAACCTAATAATAGAACTAATATTAAATTAATAATAATAATAATAATAACAATAATAGTAATAATGAGCTTTCAAATAAACCAACACTGAAAGGCTGTGAACGAACAAGCCTCCACACGTGGTGCGATTTTAGTTCTCATGTGCAAGAAGCACTATAAGGTCTACCAAACCATGTGAGGCAGTAGATTTGCATGCTGCATGGGGAAGGGTATAATGCACTAGAGGCAGAGTATACTCCATGCCTTGTAGACTTAATCTGTAGAGGTTACTCTTTATCTGGCCTAGTTAATAGCACCACAGTTTATTCTATTATATATATATATATATATATATATATATATATATATATATATATATATATATATATATATATATATATATATATATATATATATATATATATATATATATATATATATATATATATATATATATATATATATGCAACAATGATCACAAAAACACTGATCCAAGTATGCAGAATAACCACAAATGAAAAATAGAAAATGCTTAACGCGTTTTCGGCTAATTCGCCTTCATCAGAGCAAAGTAGAATCCTACATTCTACTTTGTAGAATTATACTTTGTAGAATAGAGTACTTCATTCTACTTTGCTCTGATGAAGGCGAATTAGCCGAAAACGCGTTAAGCATTTTCTATTTTTCATATGTGGTTATTCTGCATATGTATATATATATATATATATATATATATATATATATATATATATATATATATATATATATATATATATATATATATATATATATATATAAAACACACACACAACTGTAAATTATGTATATTCTGAATATGGATTAAACATAGATTTAGAATTAGATTTATTGACTTCAGAATTAGAAATTGTTTGATATTTAATTATGCTAGTATCAATAGTATTGTTATTTATAGAATGAGCTAGTACTTATAATAAGGACACTTATTACAAGTGTCCTTATAATAAGGGTAAATAATGTGTCAAAAATAATTTTTTGACCGTAGTATACTGTATTTTTGTTTTTAGTCATAATGCTGTCTGTATGGTCATTGTAAATAACCATATTAACGTGTTTTGAATGTTAAAGTTAATATTTTTTCTATTTTAGGTATTAGTGTTTCATCATTAAGCATCTTGCACAAGCAATTTCGAAGCGATATAACACTTTAAAGTGTTAAAATGGATTTCTGCCTTTAACACTTTAGTCTATGGAGAGTGTTTGTTAATTATCATTTCAGTGTAAATGTGTAGACCAATGATCATATCTCAGTATAAGTGCAGGTTAGCCAACACATTAGGGTAAAATAATATTTGGAAGCATGTTCAGCCCGTTTGTAGATCAAGGATTAATTTTACCAAGAAGAAAATAACTTAGAAATATTCCTATGCAGAGTAATTTACTGACAACCGAATTGAGATTTATCTTATTTATTTATTTGTTAACAACTGAAAATAAAACCTACACCTCATATGTAGTCTTCATTATAGTAAACTGAACATAATTTTGAATCAGGGTTTATATTTCCAATACTTCCATTAAGTAACAAAATCGTGTAAAATGGTCAGTTAGAATTATCAGAGACATCTACGGTCAGTTATTAAAAAAATGTATATGACAGATCATGCAAGATTACGTGTGTGTGTGTGTGTGTGTGTGTGTGTGTGTGTGTGTGTGTGTGTGTGTGTGTGTGTGTGTGTGTGTGTGTGTGTGTGTGTGTGTGTGTGTGTGTGTGTGTGTGTGTGTGTGTGTGTGTGTGTGTGTGTGTGTGTGTGTGTGTGTGTGTGTGTGTGTGTGTGTGTGTGTTTGTGTATATATATATATATATATATATATATATATATATATATATATATATATATATATATATATATATATATATATATATATATATATATATATATATATATATATATATATATATATATATATATATATATATATATATATATATATATGTACATATATAATACACGTGTGTGTTTGTATGCGTATGTGAGGGAGAGAGAGAAAAGCTGTATGAACGCGCAAGCCATAGATCAGTAAAAATCATATTTGACCCGGCCAGGGATTCGAACCCATGACATCCAGGATCACCCCTAAACGTATACAGTACGGTGACCACCGCACCATTGATCGCCTAATATCTAATATACGTTTAAGGGTGATCATGGAAGTCATGGGTTCGAATCTTAGCCTGGTCATATATGATTTCTTATTGATCTCTGACTTGCGCGTTCATGCAGTCTTTCTCACAATACATATATATAATGGGGAAACCCATTATATATATATATATATATATATATATATATATATATATATATATATATATATATATATATATATATATATATATATATATATATATATATATATATATATATATATATATATATATATATATATATATATATATATATATATATATATATATATATATATATATATATATATATATATATATATATATATATATATATATATATATATATATATATATATATATATATATATATATATATATATATATATATATATATATATATATATATATATATATACAAGTAAACCTGGTTTCATTCGAAGCGTAGAAAGATCCTGGGAAAGGAGGGGGGGGGGCAGTAGGGGTTATTTAACTGTAGAACTTTCTGTGGTGTATCTTAAGATGTTCTAAAGTGTTTGCGTCTCATGTGGACGCGTGTTGCTGCAGGTCTGAACTCTCTCAACTCGATCTCCTCCGGCGTCTACACCAACACCACCTCCTCCAGCTTCGTCACCTCGGGATCCGGAGGCTTCCTCGGCACCTCGCCCTTACCCTCCTCAGGAACCGTCGAGAATGCCTCTTCGGAGATCGATCGGATTATGGCCAAGATAGAACAAGACAATAAGATACTCGCTGAGCTCGATAAATCTCGATCGACGATAGGTAAGACCTGAGCATGCTCCGATGTTTATCGCATGAGAAGATAAAGACAAGTCGTCCATTCTAAGGAGATGGTAATGATTCCTTTGATATTCCTGATTCATCTTTTGTAGTCATGGTGGAAAACAATTTATGGAGTACTTTAGAAATATTGTGTGTCCCCTTTTAGGCTATTTTGAAAGTTGGGACATTTGGAGATGATGTTGGACGTAGCGTTGCCAGAGGGTTTACTGTAAAGGTCGTAGCAGGGCCATGTCAGCTGCTGGTATTAACTTCAGAACCTGTCAGGAGATGGCCTTTGACCTGCGCGTGTCTTCAGGTCCTCACCATGTGAAACACGTGCAGTTCGTGGAGGGCATGTCGCGTGGAGCGTACATGAGCAGCTCCCGCGAAGGCTCGGTGAACTTTCGCGGCTACCATGAATCAGGCCTCCATGATTCAGGTCACAAGCATCACCATAGCTCAGGCCAGAAGCATGGAACCAGCCACAGATCCCATGGTAGCTCGACTCACCACAGTCATCAGCAACAATATGGGATACGTTCATCGTCGCACCAATCGCACGCTCGTCTGCAGCCGTCTAAGGGGCAGCAGAACCCACGGACTCGGGTTCTGCCTCGCCAGCCGCCTGCCCACCGCCAGCACCACTTCGGAGACACGGCCCCCTCAACCTTGTCCCGTATCAAAAATTTTCTGACAGTGCCGAAGCCTTACTTTGGTCGCACAGGGCTGAACAGTAAGTGGCGACTTTGCTACTACTGGAGCTGCTACTCTAGCTGCTGGTGGTAGCTCTGAGCGCTCAAGGGCTCCCTTTTTTTCCTATCGGGTGCCTTATGTAGTCGTGGTCAAGGGGCGGCCCGCTCCTGCACCCTGTTTTAGTAGGCTGGGTTCGTAAAGCCAACAGCACCGTAAAGAGTGACGTCTAACATCCTGTTCTCACCCCTCTCTCCCACCATCCCACCACAGCTACTACTACTACTACTCTACTACTACTACACTCTTCAGTCCGATATATATATATGTATATATATATATATATATATATATATATATATATATATATATATATATATATATATATATATATATATATATATATATATATATATATATATATATATATATATATATATATATATATATATATATTAATTAATTTATATTATATATCAGGTGGTCATTGATCGAAAAAATTACAAAATAGAACATTGTGAACTGTAGAACATTTGTTATGGAGTTGTTGATTTACAAACCCGCAGCGTAGTCGTAGCGCGGGCCGTCTAAGCCTCCTGCTCGCTCCCTGGCTGCTTCTACGTGTACTCATCTCGTCCCCCTCCGCCACTTTTTGTGATCTAGGCCACTACTTCCGTCCATTTTTAAACTGTCGTGGAAGAATTGCAGAGGCATCTTAGATTACGCTTGGTTTTAGCGTTTTAGTGTACAAGTTGTGTGTTGTCTTTTCCTGTAGGCTGCGGTCTGTATATTTTGAGTCAGTAGCCAGTTTCTCTCTTTTTTTTCGACTAAGAGTTATTTTATTTTTGTCTTTACCTTTTGAAAATAATCTGTACATACGTTTAAAAGCTAGTGGTGGTGCCCGCACACAGTGGAAGTCCCGAAGTCATAGGCCTCGTAGATGATATGATTCTTAGCGGCCAATGTTTTTGTATGTAACCAGTCTGAAACCTGCGGGACCTTTCAGTCAAAACCATCTGTCTCGCATGACTCATTATAAACGCCCAGTCATGGTCTAGCGTTGCTATGTGCATGATCAGACCTAACATGATCAGACCTCATAAGATCAAACCTCATATGCATGGGTACGATCTAGTTGCATAAATAGAATTTTTTTCACTCAAATTATGTAAATGAATATATATCCTTCTTCAATTTCCCCAATCTGGTAATACTGTCAGATGAAATTCATAGAGGAAGAACCACCAGCAGATGGGCTGATGCTGCGGCCTTGTCATTTCTCCGCCACAGGGTTATCATCCGCCTCTACTGGAGTGACTTCCTACAAGACTAGTGATGTCATGACGTCACTCGGTCTTGGCTCTGGCAGTATAACAGGCATGACACCTTCGTCTTTTATCATGACTGGATCTGGCATGGGTATGTCTCTCCCCGGCCAAGCCCTCACCACTACAGTGCCCGCCATGGACCTCTCGAATCCCATAGTCAACCCTTTAGGCAACAATGCCTTTACTAACAACCCGTTAGGGATGATGGACCCTAATCTCTCTCATCTGGACACCACGGGCCTTGGCTTGGCCTCTCACCTGGGTAGCACCAACCATGGGCTAGGCCTTTCCTCACTCGGCTCTCTCACCGGTACCTCCATCATGGGCACCAGCGGTATCGCAGGACTTTCCCTTCAGAGCACAAATCCTCTCTCAGTTACCAACCCCTGCAGCCTCCATACTTCCCTGGCCGGTGTGGGTATGGTGGGCTCCGGACCCGGAGTAATCGGCGGAGGAATCAGCAACCCCGTTTTCTCCAGCGTCAACACACTTCCTACCATCATCACGACCAGTTACGACAAAGACGGTATAGTCGGTGTGCCCTTCCCCAACGCATGGATCCTCTCCTCGCTAACAGCATGCTCTCCTTATACCAGTTCTCACTCATAGACACATTATCTTGTCTTACCTTCTTACCTATTACATTGACATTTTGAACTATTCCTTTCCTGAGGTGGAAAGAAATATTTCAAAATGCCCCATTTCTACCTCCCTAAATTTCGTGTCTGCTTATATATTGCTAAAATCTGTTATTGGTTGTGACTCTCTCTCTAATCATAATAGTTTCCTTACTTGGAAGCTTTTCTTGGTCACATTTGCTAGTCAGTTATTAAATCTTAGTCACTTTGGTAAATAGTTCAACATAAGAAATACTAAGTCAAGAGATGACAATTTTTAATATTATTTAAAAATTAATTAAAGTCATCTTCGTAATTCACTACATCATTATTAGTACTTTCTATTTTCTTCCATGAAATGATTATAGACAATGGACAGTTTCTTAATCCTTTTCTTCCATCCAAATTTAACGTTTTCGCCTTCCATCTGAAATGCCAGATTATACGTCACCTTGTCATGTAAATAGGAGAGATAAAAATTTTCCTTATCCTTTAATTATTTTCTGTTCAAAATATTTCCCTTCATTAATGCTAATGTAAACTGAACTATGGCGTTCAGCACCTAGAAGGAATTCCATTTTGTAACTTGTGCTTCCCTTCTCAACGTTTACCTTTCCCGTTTCTACACTTAGGAATCTTGTTCCAATATTGACTTCCGTTGATGCCAGCTTCCCTTACCCTCTGCATCTGTTGTGTTGTCATGTTGAGTGTACACACCTGTAGTGTAGCATTGTCCATTGTACCTTTATCATATTTTGAATTATACATATGCATTTTGAATTATACATATTTATGTAAAATCAGATAAAGCAATTCTAATAAATGGTATTCAACCTTAAATTTATTTTTATTTTAGTGAATAAAATAACTTTCTACTGATGCTGTGACAGTAGTTAAGTGATTTTGAGACCTTGAGTATCCCCTGTTTTGTTTGTATTTATTTTTTTCTAGCAATTATAAACTAGTTTATTCTGGTATATTGTTGTACATGTTTCGTTGTTGTTTACTCAAATGGTTTATTTAAAAAAAATCCTCGTCACTTTTTCCGATATTTATGTTATTTTGGTTTTGCTTTCTCAAGTATAACTGCCACACTATTATTTCTTGTATTCGTTCCTTATAGAGTATATGATTTTTGTTTTATTTGATTTGGCCTGATTTCACTTATATTTCTTAAAAATGCAAGAGATATAAACACCTTTAGGTAAAACCCCGCTTTTCTGAGTATATTCATCATGATTTCTTTAGTTCTTAATTGTTTGTTAAGTATACCTGCTGGTTGTTCAAAAAGCTACTTTAACGGCCTCGGTAACCCTTTTGTGGTGAAATTGAATTGCAAGTGAACTAAGTTTATTGGGGTATATATATATATATATATATATATATATATATATATATATATATATATATATATATATATATATATATATATATATATATATATATATATATATATATATATATATATATATATATATATATATATATATATATATATATATATATAATATAGATTCACACATCACAAACAATAAACATATAACCGAACATTCTGAGGGAGAAACATATATTTTACTTCTTCACGTGGTTGATAGGCCTTAATCCCAACCCGCAATAAACCTCATATTGTTTCATGATCAACTTCATGATTTATGACTTAAATTGTTACCTGGGTTATTATTTTTGTGTTTCTTAAAGCTAATGTTTCATGAATGATACAACAATTAATCAATAGATATTCACCATATGAGTTATAATACAACATTAAATAATAATTAGTTTGTGCAAAACACATTTATTCTTTCAATATATATTTACTAATTTGACTATATATGTATTGCATGAAGTTTTCCTGCATGATATAACTAATTCAATTTTTTTTTGGTTTATAAATTATATGTAAACATAAAGAAAGTTTTAAATTAATAGGTACATCGTACCAAGCAGTCGTGAACATAGCCTAGTATGAATTATTATATATTAGTGGGAATTAGTATATATTAATATGCATATGTATATTTTAGCAAGCATAATAATTATTATAGGTACAAGTAACAATATTCAAGACATGGACGCAGATGACATTAAAACTGCACAGAGCTCTGAAGCATCTTTTGTATTTAATATGATTGATAGATCCTGCAGTATTTGAAAAATAGACACATTGGTTTTGTTGAGATAACGTTACCCTGATATGAGATCTGAGGTGCAAACCTCTCATATAACCACATCCAAATGACTTGACTTACCTAAAAATCAGGTGACTTACTCTTCACTCATCTGATGAAGTATTCTGACCTAATCACCTGTAGGTTTCAGCATATGGATATGACCAGATATCCTTATGCTGAAACACTGTGGCCTGATATCCTATAAATGACTAATAAGGGTCTCGTTAATACAGTTGGGATTGTTCTCGATCCTCAATCGAGAATCCCAGGTTCGAATCCCAAACGGGACATAAATGGCTGCGCACATTTCCTTCTGCCCAGTGCGTCTGTTTACCTAGCAGTAAATAGACACCCGGAAGTTAGGCAATTGCATGGGGTTGAATCCTGGGTAAGGTCAGTAGTTCGTTTTTGAGAAGACCCCTATACAAAGCTTAAGTATATATATACACACAGACTGCCTGTCTCCAACAAAACTAATTATTATGAAATAATGACTAGATTACTTGCGAGTAGCTCATCTTGAACTGAACCTCTGCAAGGAACTCAATCTGACCTGATGTGCAGGCATCTAATAATTAACTAATATTCTATAGGGGAAACTCTGACCTGATCTCATACACGTGCAACAGACCGGAACTTTACTTCAGGTGACTAAACTACTAAACTCATTCTGACTAGGCTTCAGGTACAACACACTCCTGATCTCCTACTGGTACATATTTGTCCTCACAACTCACCTAATCACTGACCGTGTCCTAGATAAGAGCTGACTTTCAATCAACATAACAAATTTAACACTTAACCTAATTTTGTTAACGATTGTTTGTGTTTGCTTTACCTGATCATTTTTGCTGACAACCTCATATTTTGTATCGCCTCTGCTCTGACCTGTGTGTGTGTGTTTTGTGTGTCGTTCCGTAGACAAGAACCTGATGAACGGAAATATCCCTGGACTGATGCTGCCACCATATGAGACAGACAACAGAGTCCTGGACGTGCTAGAAATTCCTGGAAAGGGGCGATGTCACGTGTATATTGCCAGGTGAGACAATGAAACGTTTTTATCTCTACTAGATGTTGAGCAAGTAAGCTACGGAGTTGACAACGAAGGGGTTGGCTCTTAAAATTTTTTAAATATTTATATTATTGCAAAGTAATCACTGTTTTCCAATATGATGGTTCTATTTGTATACTCAAATTGAGGCGGATGGTCGTTGACCCTTTTGCCAGTTCAGCTGCTGACGATCTTTCATTACTATCAGTTGCAATAATACATATCTAACGTTAAAGTTTCTGGAAGTCAGAGCTTACTACAGTGCCACGTATCTAGCGATCTCATCCAAAATTTTAGATCCTCTTAGTCAATAACAATTCTGCATCTGGGTTAAAAAATTAAAGAAAAACATTAAAGTCGCGATGTGCAGCCATATCAGGCACTAAGCATAACTGAGTGCTTGTGCTACATCAAGCGAAATGTTAAGGGGGGTTTCTCTTAGAACATTTGTCATATCACTGTTTGTGCCAGTAACGTTATAAATATTTATCTTTTTTCACAGTTTATAAGAATGAAAAAAAACTGCCTTTAGCTCCACGAATCACTTGCATGATTTAAGAAAGAATGATCACCTATATCTGTCAATAAAACCGACTTTTCAATATTCATTAGCATCAGTCACAATTTTTCCTCTTTAGTAGATATATAAAGAGATAGTGTTTCTAGTTAATAACATGACGTTTTAACATTACTCTGTCTAGCACTCAAGCACTGAACGGATACCTCTTATATCTCTCTAGCACTGAATATGTACCCCGTCTATATCTCCGACGGTTATGTAGCGCTGCCCTAACTCCCCATACCATCTAACACGACATAAACATCCTCTCCAAACACTTAACAGAATCCTGGTATCTTGTACAATTTTTTAACAATATTATCATCTGCATAACACTGAAAGCTATTCACAAATACCCAGACTGCCCTGGAAACCATACAGCCTTCAAACCTATAAATAACTATTCGAATATTTCTTAAGACACTCAACATTCTCAGATACGTCTATGCAACTCAGATGCCATTTATGATTCTGCAATATTTTGCAGTTTAAAACTCGATGTAGATTAATTATATTTACTTAGTGTTTAATAATACCCTTTCAGACTTTCTAATACATGACAAATACTATTTATGATCGTCTCACATTATCTAGGTTTCCCCAAAGAACTCATGATCACTTTTTTTATAACCTTTCACTTACCCCAGGCACCGGCTCATACTCCCTAAGTACCATATATAAATGCCCTACGAGGCTCTGAAGCGACTTAATTGCCTCTCTAACATTGCTAGAACTACCTCTCACATACGGCACTTGCATTCTTTCCTAAAGTTACCTAAACACTGGGTATTTATACCCTAGTACCAGATGCGACGCCATCTAAAATTGCGCAAGTCTGCCTCCATTATATACCCTCTGTGCCCCCTCATTCTATGTAGACATATAAACAGCTAACTAGATAACCTCTTAACCCAACTACTCTCAACCCAATTCTCCTCGTGTATAAGTACCTTTCTACCTTTGCTCTGACTCCGCAGGTACTCATACGACCCGTTCCAACATTCACCCAACGAGAACCCGGAGGCGGAGTTGGCTGTGAACGCAGGAGACTACGTGCTGGTGTGGGGCTCTATGGATGAGGTAGCCCCCCCGACTATAGTGAGAACCTCGGGGTGCCCTCTTTCTCTCTCGCCTGGCCCCCCGAAATCACATGATACTTTTCACAACCTAGATAATTACCACCTAACACCCCGCCCCCTTCATCTCTTACAGCTACAGCCACTGTATCAACATAACATTGTATCACTCCACTTATAACAATCACCTAATCCCCCTCCCCCTCTTCAGTTACCACTATCATAAAAATCGTAACCCCTCCCCATTCCTTAAAAAATCATGAGCATCTACTACCCCCTAACTCTACCTATAACAAACCTTACCATAACCTAATACTAATGTCATCATAACCTAAGTAACCAACACACAACACCCTATACCTCATTAAATCTCAAACACAAAACACCCCCACTTGCACTACCCCAAACACCTCACTCGCCCGATAAAAACAACCACCACCACAACCTTACTCCTCCTAACTCTACCTACATCTATTAGCTTGAGTACCCTCAACCCCTTAAATCCATCGACATCGAGCACTTCATTCCCATACTTCTCCTATCACCACCCCCACCACCACCACATTCAACACCACCAACTCCCCACCTCTCCCATTACCACCCCCACCACCACCACATTCAACACCACCAACTCCCCACCTCTCCCATCACCACCCCCACCACCACCACATTCAACACCACCAACTCCCCACCTCTCCCATCACCACCCCCACCACCATCGCAGTCACCACCACATCCACATGACTTCCTATCATCAATCCCAGCATCTCTCCATCTTACCTGTGTCACGTAAACAAATATTCCTGCACTAATTCCCCCCTCCATACCCTACTACCACCTCCGCCTAACCTTACCTACTCTTCGACTACCATTTATGACGCCGTCCCCCTCATAACTTACACAACACAAAAATCACTTGCTCACTCACCCACTCAGACTTCCAGAAGTCCACCACGTCGTCCAAAGCTAATACGCCCTAAACCTCCCAAAACAAAGAACACAGACCTCTCAGAACACAGCTTTAGAAGAACTCACACTAAAACATAACCTCAGGAGCATTCACGCAATCATAATAAGTGTCCCGTAAACAAAATGGTGCACTATTGGTGGAGTCAGGCGAGTCTTCATTCATTTTCTCTCTCAAGCTCTGCATTACTTTGCATGTCTACCTTTGATAAAACTTTGTTTTATTTCACTCTCCCTGTGCTTTGGTCTGCATTCTCTGCCTTTCATCCTCTTCATTCCCATCCTGTTTCTTTATATTAATTGCATATTATATCATTATCTCAGTTGGTGCTAAAAAGACAAATGTGCAAGAGGATCGGATAAGTTTAAACGGTGATCTGGATAAGACTGGAAAGGAGATTCTGGTAACACAGATTCTACACGTTCAATTAAATCATAAACTAGGATAAAATCCGCATCATTATTTCTTGAGAATATTATCCTGTAGCAACCTTTATTATATATATATATATATATATATATATATATATATATATATATATATATATATATATATATATATATATATATATGTCGTACCTAGTAGCCAGAACTCACTTCTCAGCCTACTATGCAAGGCCCGATTTGCCTAATAAGCCAAGTTTTCATGAATTAATTGTTTTTACTACTACCTAACCTACCTAACCTAACCTAAGCTAACTTTTTCTTCTACCTAACCCAACCTAACCTATAAAGATAGGTTAGGTTAGGTTAGGTAGGGTTAGTTAGGTTCGGTCATACATCTACGTTAATTTTAACTCCAATAAAAAAAATTGACATCATACATAATGAAATGGGTAGCTTTATCACTTCATAAGAATAAAATAGGAGAAAAAAAACATTAATTCAGGAAAACTTGGCTTATTAGGCAAATCGGGCCTTGCATAGTAGGCTGAGAAGTGAGTTCTGGCTACTAGGTACGACATATATATATATATATATATATATATATATATATATATATATATATATATATATATATATCGTACCTAGTAGCCAGAACTCACTTCTCAGCCTAATATGCAAGGCCCGATTTGCCTAATAAGCCAAGTTTTCCTGAATTAATATATTTTCTATAATTTTTTCTCTATGAAATGATAAAGCTGCCCTTTTCACTATGTATGAGGTCAATTTTTTTTTATTGAAGTTAAAATTAACGTAGATATATGACCGAACCTAACCAGGCCCTACCTAACCTAACCTAACCTATCTTTATAGGTAAGGTTAGGTTAGGTAGCCAAAAAAAGCTAGGTTAGGTTAGGTTAGGTAGGTTAGGTAGACGAAAAAAACATTAATTCATGAAAACTTGGCTTATTAGGCAAATCGGGCCTTGCATAGTAGGCTGAGAAGTGAGTTCTGGCTACTAGGTACGACATATATATATATATATATATATATATATATATATATATATATATATATATATATATATATATATATATATATATATATATATATATCCCGCCATCTGAGGAGCTGGAAGAGCTGTACAACTTGTGACAAGCAGCCTTGTACCCTGCATGTAACCAATGTTGTAACCCTTTTTGTGTAATGACATTTTCAAATAAAGTTAGATAAATATACACACATACCAAAAGAATAGGGGTGGTAGGAGAAGAAAATATCAAAGTGTTCAGTGAGGATCCACAAGGTCTTCTCTGAGTACTCTTTATTTTCTTCTCCGAGGCTATGGGTCCCTACACTTGCACCAGAGGTGGTACCCCTTCTTTACTAAAAATATATATATATATATATATATATATATATATATATATATATATATATATATATATATATATATATATATATGATATTTTCTTCTCCTATATATATATATATCTATTTATTTGAAATATATATATATATATATATATATATATATATATATATGTATATATATATATACTTCTACTTCTTTTGTAGGGTCTGATGGTGTAGTGGGTTAAAGCATACTAGTTATGGCAGCTACTGGAAGGTAGTTGTGCTTTCTGGGTTCGAGGCCCACTGGTGGGTGTTGTCCAAAGATTGTTAATCTTCACTTGTGGTTTATGCAAGTATAGGCTCATATATATATATATATATATATATATATATATATATATATATATATATATATATATATATATATATATATATATATATATATATATATATATATATATATATATATATATATATATATATATATATATATATATATATATATATATATATATGCAAGTTCAAAATTTAATTAAAAAGTATTCATAATATAAAATTTGGACATTGATTCTACCGTTAGTTCCTTGCTATCTGTTGCTCTTATATTGCTCCATTTTAAAAGTATGAAATTGAACATTGTTATTATATATTTTGTTAATGGACTCAATCTTTAATGTAAAATTTATTGCTGATGAAGTACATATGAATCTGATAATATGTAGAATTCGATAATGTGAACGGTTACTTATTGGTCTCAAGAGCGCACAGTGTGACAATGCCTCATTTTGGTTTAATAACAAAAAAAAAAAACATAAAAATATGTTCATTCATTTTTTTTTTAAGACTTTCAATCCTCTTGGCACAGCTTCCAAAAGGAACATGTAGATCTTGTCTTGTTTAGACGTGTTGTGCTTCAGCTGACCCCAGTGAGCTGAGCTTGGCGCGCTGGAATGAAATATAGTTTATGTAAGCATAGTTGCTCGGTAAGACAGTACTTAAGACATATCTTTTGACTTCAACTAAAACTTATTTTTTTTTTTAATTTCTAATCATCCGAGATTTAACACCAGTAAAATTCTCTCTTTTTTAATTTAGTATATTTGTTCGCCTCTTAAGAAGAAAAATGAGTTTTCAATCTCCTGTAATTTGAATAGTGAATGTTTATTTATGTGTATAGAAAAATGTATAAATATTTTAATATACATGTTTACCGTACCATAATGTGCATGTATGGTGCCAATATAGGTATATGAAGCACGTCATGCTATACACATTTATAAACCAATTCATTAATTCGCTACTTTTTCCTCTTCATCAAAACTTTCCTTGAAACTACATCAAGCCAACCCTTTCTCCCTGTGACCTTAGACAAGGCGGATGTGTCTCCTTCTCTGCTCTCCTCACAAGCCCTGGCAAAACATGGAGGTTCTCGCATTTGTTTGTACACTGAGTGCTCTATTTGCTCTGGCATGAATTTAATGTTCAGACTCTGACAACTCTCAAAGGCAGACTTGAAAGAATTTTCTCACGTAACATAATAGGATAATAATAGTAATAATATTTGTACAAAATAAATATTACAATATTTATAATAATATTACAAGCTTTGAATGAACAAATCACAATATACACACAAAATACTGTGTATGTTGTGCTACTTGTGTGTATGAACATACACACAAGCTATAGTTTTTTTTAAATTAATATTATTACACTGTAAAGTGTTATTTGCAGTAGCAATACCACAATTAGAGGCCAATGGACTTTCTGGCTAGTTAACATTGCTGTTCCAGGAACCCCGATCACAAATGAATCCTGGGTGCATCATGCATCATGGGTGTAACATGGATCATGGTGTAACATGGATCATGGTGTAACATGGATCATGGTGTAATATGGATCATGGTGTAACATGGATCATAGTGTAACATGGATCATGGGTGTAACATAGATCATGGGTGTAAGATGGATCATGGGTGTAGCATGGATCATGGTGTAACATGGATCATGGGTGTAAAATGGATCATAGGTGTAATATAGATCATGTGTGGAACATGGATCTTCGTTGTAAAATGTTTCATGGATGCAACATGGATCATTGGTGCAACATGGATCATTGGTACAACATGGATCATGAGTGCAACCTGGATCGTGGGTATAACATGGATTATGGGTGCAACATGGATCATGGGTGAAACACAAATCATGGGTGCAACACGTCGCTCGCCAATCTTCTCCTCTTAATACCAGGGAAAATGATGGGAAGGGAATGCATAATTGCAGCTGCTGCAGAAGTTACCTGAATGAAAAGATTAATGTTGCAGTGACGTATTTGCGAGTAGGACGCATTTCTCTTATTGAATACAAACCCCGGTATGTCTCCCTGACGTCCATGTATCACTGTATTACTGCTTGACTTCACCGTTATTAAGAGCGCAGTGTTCTACCCATGGTGATTTACTCAACGCAGTTTAGAGTTATTGGTTTATATACAAGTATTGCTATTAGTAGATTACTTGGTGCATACAATGGCTATATCAGCAGACCTGCACATGCTCTGTGGTTCCAGCCTTCCTTGAATGATAATCCTGGCTCATTGAGGGGAATTTCTCGTCTCTATATATTTTACTATTTATTCCTTTTCTTTTGCACGTGTTTAGGACGGGTTCTTCGATGGCGAACTGTTGGACGGACGGCGGGGGCTTGTTCCCTCGAACTTCGTGGAAAAACTTATAGGGGAAGACCTCATTGAGTTTCATCAGTCGGTAGTAATGGGACTGCGGGACGGAGACGAGTCTATGTCCACCTCTGTTCCTCAGGACCTGGACTTTATATCTCAGGACGAATCCCAGCTGATGATAGGTATGGAGTTGTTGTGTTTTACACCATCCATGCCCCGTCTCCCCTGCCCTCCCTCCTTACCTTCTTTCATGCCCCAGGCACCCCATGAGCCTGGAAATACAAATATCTCCCTATGAGTGAACTCTAATACAATTGTGTGCTTAACTTCGTTTACTTCTGCTGGCGGTTCTCACAACTTATTAAAATTTATTGCCTTCTCTAATTTTCAACTTCCTTAAATTACATTGTGATTATGTACTTGTTTGTATTCAAATGAAAATGTATCTCTTTCAATTTTGTTTTAATGACAAGGAGATTAAGTTAGCTTATGAATCTGTTCGTGTTTTTTGTATGTTCACTCACTGATTCGTAATTGTCTTCACTGCTAAAATTTTTATATATCTTCACGTTTTAAATTTTTTAATATTTTTATTAAGAAGCATCACAGCTTTCATTATGACTAATAATTACCATTAACTCATTATGTGTTATTATCGCCGCATAGTAACTAGCCCTAGAGATAGAACTTCATTATATTTTTCCCACATTGCAGAAGTTATAAAATATTTTAGTAATTTTTTAATTCGCTTCATCATTAGCACCTCTTGTTGAGCCATATTTATCTTCTGCAGTGTACTTCCTAATTCTTCTTTAGATGTCTTGGCTGTGTCCGTAGACGTCTTGGGTAGTGACTCGCCAGTATATCCCTCTCTTTCCCCCAGATTTTCCCTCTCCCTCCCTCTCTTTTCACGGCCTTGATGCCACAGAGTGCCTCACCGATCAGGACATATCACCCTTGCACTTTCTGCTTATCTTGTCTTGTCAGATCAGTTGACGCAAGCACTCACTGCTTCACCGTTTTGACTATGTAATGGGGCATAAAGTGAATCAATAACTCTGAACTTCATAATTTGGAAGTTGGATTTTATGAGTATAAATCAACATAGCTCTAACCTGTCTCTTTATGCATGATTTCAAGTAATCTCTAAATTTTTTAATAACAGGCTCCTGAAGTTCACATTAGGATTTATGATTAACATTTTCACTTATAATTGATGTTTTCCTAATATATGTAACTTGTCTTTGTTCATATACATTGGAGGATACTCGAGTGCTTTGGGAGATAAGCCGTAGAGAAACATTTAAGGATTCACTCTATGTAAGGTAGCGGTGAGGTACATAGTGCAGCAGGGCACAGTGACGGAGTCATATGCTGCCATCTGGAGCCAGCCACTCCCAGCTGGTGGCAGGTGACAGCTGGTAGCACCGCCCTTCCCTAGTCAAACACGCACCCGCTATACAAGTCGGCTTCACCACACCACCACTCTCAAGCAAACTGAACAGCCACCAGCTATACCAGCACCGTCAGGTAGCCCAGTTCACCATGGAGGGCTTAATCCCAGCTGCCTCTTACACCCAACCCTGGCTTCGCTAGCTTAGCTAGAATAAACAAACCCACCGTCCCCCCACCATTATAGATTTTTGGGTGTGGCGTGGATGGGTGGGCGTAGGTAACTTGAGGCTAGCTAGAAACCTAGAGTGACCGCGAAGACGTAGTCCCGCTATTCCCAGCCAGGCGTCATGATCGTCTCGGTTTTCTCGCAGATACCAACGCGCCCGTAAAGTTTGTAAAAAACATCTTCAAGGGTGTTCAAGGACTTTTCGGGCAAGGCGAAAAAAATGAGGCTACTACATTGGTGTCGACCGTGCTGGGATCCACAGGGTCGGCCGCACAAGCTCTCATCCCTAAGGGGCCTCTGGTATCCCAGTCTGGCCACGGGTTACTCACTCCCCTCGGCTCCTTCAACCCCTTGGGGGCACTAGCGGGGCACAAGAACCCTGCCCAGCACGGCGTCCCATCCGCCAGTACGTTCGTCCTCTGCACACTCCCATCAGTACTCTTTCAGGAGACGTATGTTGTTGGAGGCGCAGGGTTGGAGTGCCCATCTCCGGGAACTTCATACCCAGCCCTAACAACTACGCCCAGACCATGGTCGGGAAGGTCTTGCCTACCGTTTTCACTTGAGTCATTACCGCCATCACTAAATTAAATTCTGTATTCCCGGTTATCTAGAGATTCTTCATTCTATTAATATATAACATTATAAATCGTTAGTCCCATTAGTATACAGCGTAGGCACTTACCGGTGGCAGCGGGAGTGTCTCAAGTGGTCACGGTGACCTGGCCATGGCCTCGTCCCTTCTCCCGCTATTAAGCTTCCCCTCCGCCCTGGTTTTCTGCAGGAGTCTGTAGAGACCTGACTCTTAGAACCAAGGCTGTCGGTGATGCTTCTTGAGTGCTGCATTTTGATTTATCCTTGCATATATATATATATATATATATATATATATATATATATATATATATATATATATATATATATATATATATATATATATATATATATATACATATATATAATATATATATATATATATATATATATATATATATATATATATACATATATATATACATTTATAATATACAGTATGTATATTTATATATATATTCTGTATAATCTCTGTAGAAGTGCATCGTGGCTTGAATTATAATTTGGGAGTGAATCAAAATATATATATATATATTTGGTTGTATGATGGATGACGTCAGGACTGCTACAGCCATTAATTATAGCAGCCGTCATACAGTATAAAATACTCTTAACAGTATACTACACACTTGCTCAACACAGGGAAGGCTTTCTTGAGTCACAAACTACATACACGCTATTCTCAGTTCAAGTAACGCAAAATACCTAATACACTATAGCTGGAAGACTATACCCAATAATGCAAGAGAGGCATTGTCCACCATTCTCAAATGAGTATGTACTTTTCTAATGCTATCTTACATCAACATTACTGCCAGGATATAGTGCAAAGTTTAGAAGTGTTTCATTATAATTTATCCATAATACAAAATTTCAAACGTCTCAATATTTATTAAACCTGTGGCCGACCCCCAAAGACGCATTCAATATCTGTTAGCTGTTAATCTTTATGAGTGAGTTAACTTTAAAAATTAAAGCAGCATGACCAAAACAATGAGAAAATTAAAAGTAATATTTTTTTAAGTTTTTTATTGTTATGTTACGTTTAAGCTTAACATTTGAAACATATCTTGTTTAAAAAAAAAGTAGGTTATTTTGTAACTTTGTTAAAAAAAAAGTACAAACAGGTAAGGACGATTGAAACCGATCCTTAAATGTTTGCCACTGATATTAAAAAATATATATATTGAATGTTTCCAGAATTTCCGTAATTTGTTATTTATATGTATAATAATTTTGTAAATTCTTAGGTTATTATAAACATATTACGGCAGACCTTTTTGCTTGCATTACAAAGGTCTAAATATTTCTTTTGTGGATCTCCTGTTTTCTCTTTAATAAACACTATACTAGTTTTTTTATATAAAGTAAATTTTTCTTTCTTTCTCAGAGTTCTTATTTTTTATTAATTGATATATTAATTTTTGTCTGATAATCGTACAGAAGCAAAAGCTCACATTCACAAATAACTTCGTAACTACACTTTGCTCTCATAATCATGGAACATTTTCTCAAGCCAAGACTCAGTCATCCTCGCATGGGTCGCCAGTCTCATTTTATAACCCCCAAAAAGAATCCGACAAATTATTTCGTTCAAATTGTGACCTCTCTTCTGAAAATTAAAATCATGGCACTATATATATTACAAATGAGAGTCCAGTATTGTTTCCATACCACTGGCATGTTCCAACCTATTCTCCTGATAGGATAGAGCTCTCTGTAACTATGTCTACGATCATACAAAAATCGACTTGATGGACAAATAGAAAGTAGAATTCGGTGCTATTTATTTAATATAGTACCGCAAAAAAATAGAGCTAAAAAACAATCTTAAATTTTCCTGGGTCTAGTATAGTATATATTAGGCCTAGAATTACACACATAAATCACAATTGCGTGATGCATCATGTGAACAAATCCAGAAGGGCCGTGGCAATGATTCGAACCTGCGTTCGAGAGCATCCCAGACGCTGCCTTAATCGATATATATATATATATATATATATATATATATATATATATATATATATATATATATATATATATATATATATATATATATATATAAGACTCCGATCCAATATAGAAGCATATGTCTAACCACGCTTGAAACAGTCAAAGTATCCTACTTCTATTACGTTACGTGGTAGTTGGTTCCACAAACCAACAACTCTGTTACCGAACCAGCATTTATCAGATCTTTCCTAAATCTAAACATCCAATTTATACCCATTGTTTCATATTCTCTCTTGTGTTGATACTTTTATTACCGTATTATTATCCTTTTGTTGTGCACATTCATCCACTTGTACACCTCTATCATGTCACCACAAATTTTTCGCATTTCTAGAGAATGTAATTTAAGCTTTGTCAATCTTTCTTCATATGACAGGTTTCTAATTTGGGGCATTAACTTTGTCATCCTACGCTGGACACGTTCTAGTGAATTCATATCCATTCGGTACGGCGACCAAAACTGAACTGCGTAATATAAATGGGGCCTAACCAATGCAAGACATATCTGAAGAACAAAACCAGGTGTCTTATTACTAACGCTTCGATTAATAAATCCCAGTGTCTTATTTGCCTTATTACGAACATATTTGCATTGATTGTCATGTTTTAAATTCTAACTAATCATACCTCCCAGATCCCTTTCGCAATCCGACTTCGCAATCTCAACACCATCTATCTCCTATCTTGTAACTATCATCATTACCTAGCCTCAAAAACCTTACATTTGTCAGCATTAAACTGCATCTGCCAATCTTTTGGCCATTTCAAAACCTTATTTAGATCGTCTTGAAGTGACCGTGAGTCTTTTTCCGTGTTTATTATATCATCTTCCGATTTTATAATTTTTTGTTTATTTTCATTTTTTCCGATACATCATCCCGATATATATATATATATATATATATATATATATATATATATATATATATATATATATATATATATATATATATATATATATATATATATATATATATATATATATATATATATATATATATATATATATATATATATATATATACATATATATATATATATATATATATATTACGAATAACGGAAGTCCCAGGAGAGAACCCTGAGGCACGTTCCACTTACATTAGTCTCCGACTCTGAATTAACCCCGTTGATAAAAACTCTGTTTCCTTTCGAACAGCCATGCCCAATTCCAACTGAATATAGCACCCATAATACAGTGAGCCTCTATCTTTTTAATCAGTCTTCCATGTGACCCTGTATCAAAAGCCATGCTAAAGTCAAGGTACACAGCATTATAAACCTTACCACTAGCACCTACTTAAACTTGGCACTTTCTCCTGATAGTTCCAGTCTCCTTGTCCAAATTCAGTAATACAAAAGTCTAGTTTCTGTTGGTTCATCACGTTCATATATGAACGATCGACCACATAGTACCTATAAGTACTTTCCTTTTAGTAGGATGGTGTGCACGTTCACAACTACACGCCACTCACTCTAGGACCCTCACGCCACGCTCTGTAGCATCCACACGCTACTCAGTCTAGCACCCACACGACACTCACTCTAGCACCCACACGCCACTCTCTATAGCATCCACACGCCACTCTCCATAGCATCCACATGCCACTCTCCATAGCATCCACATGCCACTCTCTTTAGCATCCACACGCCACTCTCCATAGCATCCACACGCCACTCTCTATAGCATCCAGACGCCACTCTCCATAGCATCCACATGCCACTCTCTCTAGCATCCACACGCCACTCTCCATAGCATCCACATGCCACTCTAGCATCCACACGCCACTCTCTCTAGCATCCACACGCCACTCTCCATAGCATCCACATGCCACTCTAGCATCCACACGCTACTCTCTCTAGCATCCACACGCCACTACTCTAGCATCCACACGCCACTCTCTCTAGCATCCACACGCCACTCACTCTAGCATCCACACGCCTCTCACTCAAGCACACGCACGACAGCACCCCACACTACTCACATTAGAACTCATAACCTACTTACTTTAGAACAAAAGTTGCACTTTCTTTAGATATCGCACTTTACTTTAGCGCACACGTCCCACTCACACTTTAGGCACCATTAGCATGATATACACGCTGAGTGGGTGTAGTCATTAGAAAAAAATACGATATTGTAAATATTAAAAGCGAATGAAATTCCTAATCTCTCCTTCCTTTGCGGTTCAGAGAAGAAAAATTGTCGATATTACTTCTCAACCTCACGTAGTAAAAGACTTTTTTGGTCAATTAGTCAACTTTTGTCAATTTTGTCAACTTAAATTTGGATGCAAATGAATGTTTGTTTCTAGCACTAAAAAGCAGGCTTAAAGTGTTGTAAACAGAAATACTACAATAAGGATAAAACTGAAATTGAAATAATTTTCTTTTTATATCGAGCACTGTATTGTGAAACAAATCGAGCACTGTATTGGAAACCACCAGTAAGGGACTGTATTATGAAAAGAAAACATGCAAATCACTGTATTGTGAAACGCAAGTAAAGCACTGTACTGTGAAACACAAGTAAAGCACTGTACTGTGAAACACTAGTAAAGCACTGTACTGTGAAACACTAGTAAAGCACTGTACTGCGCATCACAAGTAAAGCACTGTACTGTGAAACACTAGTAAAGCACTGTACTGTGAAACACTAGTAAAGCACTGTACTGTGAAACACAGGTAAAGCACTGTACTGTGATACACTAGTAAAGCACTGTAGTAAAGCACTGTACTGTGAAACACTAGTAAAGCACTGTACTGTGAAACACTAGTAAAGCACTGTACTGTGAAACACAAGTAAAGCACTGTACTGTGAAACACAAGTAAAGCACTGTACTGTGAAACACTAGTAAAGCACTGTACTGTGAAACACTAGTAAAGCACGGCACTGTGAAACACAAGTAAAGCACTGTACTGTGAAACACAATTATAGCACTGTACTGTGAAACAC